CTGCAAAGTCAACCACTCCCCTCCTTTTGCTACAAAATGTCTACCTTTATATTTCCAACCCTCACAGTCAGTCCTGATAGTAATAATTCACTATTGTACCACCTGAGTGCTATCCCCATCTCCTTTCATCAGTCCCTCCCAGACCGATTGGATATTTGGATATTACTTAATGGAGATTCTACCTTCCTTCGCAACCTCTGGATCTAGGCTCCCTCTTGAAAACTTGTAAGCCAGCCACTTCTTGCCTTTGTAACTCTCCCAGTTTGGGTAGCCAGTTTCCAAGTTGCCCACCCCTGTCTATCCTGTGTATCAAGGGGGTGGGAATGATCCTCGCTGTGAAGATTTGTTCTCTCTTTTGAGCTACTGCATCCATAGGTGTAGGTCAAGTTCATCAAATTGTATCAGATTATTCTTTTTTCCTTCTTCTTTCTTCTTCTAGTTAAGCTCTGATCATCCAGCCATTGAAGCCAGGTCAAGTGGGTATTATCTGCAAGTGTGGGTGTTCTTGTGCATATGCCCTCTTTTCTTATCAGTCTCATTGACTTTTAAACAATTATTAATGTAAAAATATAAACAACACACCATTTTTCATATGATACCAGTCACAACCATCCTGTTGTGCTACCATCACCAATACCCATTGCCAGAATTTCCATCACAAAAAAGGAACTCACTACTTCTTTTTTTTTTTCAACTAAAATATTTAGTTAATTTTCAATCTTTATTGTGATTTTGGTGAAATTGGTAAATTCAGAGAGCAAATCAATTTCCCATTCAAGTCTTTGTACCTTTTATTTCATGTCATTGAAATCAAATGCTACATTGCAATCCCCACAATGTAACATCACTCCTCCTGTTTCCATTCTTCCATCTTTCCTAATCCTTTCAGCCCTTTGAACTCTGTCCTTTGGCAAATGCTGCCCTTTTAATATAAACTGTTGTTTTAAGGAGTGTGTACCTCTCTAGTGGTATTGTTCAAACTATTGTTCACCTGATTGGCTGGAAAGTGACCTATGGGGGTGAGTTGAGTTCCAGATCCAAAGGGTGACTAAGGTCACAAGACAACCTGGTCTCTTTCATGATTTTGAATTTTATTCCATATTGTTCTCTCACTCTTTCCTGGTAATTCCTCCTGTCTCTGTCTCTCCCACTCTTTGTAACCATTATTAAGCTCTGACTCTATACAATTATTTATTCTTACAGGTATTTCATATAAGCAAGATCATAAAATATTGGTCTTTTTGCTATTGATTTACTTCACTCAGCATAATATTTTCAGGGTTCACTGGTTTTATTTCCATTTTTAAAATTTTAACCACTCTAGAAGCAATGAAGTGGTATCTCAATGTGGTTTTGATTTGCAAATCTCTGATGGCTAATGAAATCAAGCATCTTTTCATGTGCTTGATGGTCATTTGAAAGTTCTCTTTGGTGAAATGTTTATTTCAGTGGGTCATTGGCTTTTCACTTTCTACTTTTAACCATTCACAAGTTGATTTTGTGTGTGTGAAGAAAGCGATGTTCACTTGTGTTCTTATCCTGGAATGGGCTAAGGGGTGATGCTCTGGCCCTCAGAGGCTTTGCTCAATCCCAGCAGTGTCCAGTCATCCTAAGAGATTGCTGTCCTCTGGTCAAGGATCAACTTCTCCACAACTATAGACATGTTCTTTAAAACAAGTCCATGTACCTATTTTAACACCGACTTCCTTCAATCCCACCACCTTTTTATCTGT